ATAGATATAACTGGAATCAACAAACATATCAACAAGTAGAAAGTAGCAAAACCAAATCTTTTATCTCATTAATTAAAATCATATAAGTCGTTCATCTTAGTGTTTAATTAATTAAAATCAAACAATCCCAAAACCTCTCTTTTAATTACTAATTTCATGAAAGAAAAGTATTCCTTTCCCTATGGATACGAATTCTACTACGCTATACTACATATTAGTGCTAGTATTGAATTTATTTTGAGGCACACAATGACTTTAGTGCCGTCATATTTGGCGTTGTTGCTGGGGAGATGCAATTATTTTTCTTTTAATTCAGAAAAAAATATAAAGATCTTTCTTTTCTTTTCTGAGCTTTGTTTGAGTATATGGTAAAAATTCACGAGAAATAAATTTTAAGAAAAACATAAGTAAACCAATTTTCAGCAACTTTGAAGAAGTTGTTAACATGAATACCAACACATCATCAAATTTCTGACTTGGCCTCTTTAATAAAGGAGTTTATCTTATGTTTAAAAGCTCAAGATGCCAAGGCCCCGCAACATTTGCATGTCTCACAGGCATCTTAGAGATTTTTGCCTGAAGCTCTAAGAAGAATATTTTGAACAAATTAATGATGTTGGTTTTCGTGGGAGAATACCTCAAAGGAGATATGATCCATTTTCCAACACATAAAATCCGAGAATGAGATATCACTTGTACTCGAATTCTCATTCTAGCATGTCTACTGAATACATGGTCCGAGCTCTCACTATTAATGTGACAATTATGCAGCAAAATATGTCACAATTCCCGCAAGAAACAAGGTCCAGTGAAGAGAGCTTGGAGAATCAAGTGAACCAAATGGAAAGTAGTGTGACTCAATTGGATGCAAAAGATTTTGGTAAACTTCCATCTCAAACAGAAGAGGGTTCTAAACAACAAGCTTTTGCAATCACATTAACGAATGGGAAGGAATTGCAAAAGGAGACCCAAAATCTAGAAGACGAACAAAAAGACACGGAGCTCCAGCTGGTAGAAGAAGAGGATGAATCGAGCCCTAAAGTTAAATTGCTATCCTTTTCATCCTATGAGGCACCCTCACCGTCTCTCGAAGCTTTGAGGGAAATCCAGAAGATTGAAAAGTGCAATGAAATCTGTGAAATCTTCAGCAAATGTGAGTATCATTTCGATTTCTCCTCGTTCACAAATATGCAGGGAATAACGGTGGAGTTAAACTAACATTTCATACCCGCTCTTATGCCACCAGGATCAAAACCCCTTCCATTGAGCATGCTAAATTGGAAAAACATTTCCTCACTCTCACAACATGAAGCGATGAAAATCCGGATATTTGGTCCTGGAAATATTGTCAAACTGAAGAGTCGACAAATTGAGCCTTTCTATAAGAGTCACCAGGGTGAAAACGTGAAAGAAATGGATAATCACGACCCAAATTTTAAAGATTGAACTTGAGAAGGTGGCGTCGTGTCACGACATTAAATAAGACGCTTCTTGGGAGGCAACTCAAGCGAGGTACGTGATTTTTTTTTTCTAGCACCCTCCTCTTCACCTCCCTTCACCTTTAATCTTCCAAAACAAAATACAACTCATCCCTAATCACCTTAAACCACATAACCATATATTTCTTTCTTCAAAAATCTACCCAAATCATTCACCAAACACCACAAAAAAATATCATAATCTTGCTCTCATCACTTTCCTCTTGATCCACATATAAAACTCTTGGAAACTCTCACCCACCCTTTCCAAAATCCCCAACTATCTTTAAAAAATAAAAAAAAATAAAAACAACAACTCCAAGCAATGGCAATGACGAGCACTAGGGACAGTGCTCGATTTAGCAAGGGGGAGAAGCCTCTTGATTTTACACATGGCATTTCTTCTACATTTTATTTTTCAAATCAAAAAAATTATACAAAAAATGTAAAAAAACGAAATAAAAGAAAATAATAAAAAGAAGAAATGCTAGTTAGATTGAAAATGCGAACGGGCAACCTAAGCAACAATAGCAAAAAATGAGTGAGTCGGGGGAAAAGAGGCTAGGATGAAAACCTGAAAAGGCTCCTAGGCAAAAGGAGAGAAATAAGAAAAGAAATTATTTTTGCAGGAGTTCATTTTCACCATAACAAGCAGTTTGGGGGAGAAGCCATAACTTTCTATAGTGGGGATGAATTTAAGATGAAAAAGAAAACACTTCTGTTTTCTTTTATCTTGTTGAAACTCTTTGGATGGTGAAGAACTTTATGAATTTTACTCGAGGACAAGTAAAAGGCTAACTGTGGGGAGTTAATTGCATTGGTTTTTGAGTGTTTATATTTTTACTTTTAATTAGTTTTTAAGGTGTGTTGTTGTATTTTGTAATGTTAGTTTTTACGGTGAGTTGTAATAGTTTGTATCTTGTTGCATTAATTGTTGAAAAAGGAAAGTACTCAATTGAAGAAAAGAAAAACAAAAGAAGAGTACTAAAAAGAGAAGAGCAAAGAAAAGAAATGTACCAAAACAAAAAGGAATCAAACAAAAGAAAAGAGGTACGAAAAAGAGTCGACTGGATCCCTTTAAAAAATATTAAACAACAGCCTTCTCTGAAAATGCCAACCAGTAGCCTACTCATAATTTTCCAAAAATATCAGCAGCCTACTGATTCCATTCAACCTCTAGGAATCCAAGGCCACTGAATTTGTTTAAGTTGCTCATTTCATTCTTATCAACAAAACAAATCAAAATATACAATGCATGACCATAGGACCCAGTGGAAGTTTAAATAAAAAGGAAAAAGTAATTTTCATAATTATTTTTACTAAATGTAAAAATTATTAATACTGTTATTTTTATACTAAAGAAGACAAGGGTTTTATGAATTAAGGGAGCATTGAGCAAGTGGCTAAAAACTTCATGTGAAATATTTTCAGTCTACGACTAAGATTAAATCAAAAGTTTATCTTAACCACATACCTTGAATTAAGGAATTCAGAATGCAAGAAGAATAAGGAAATCACCTTGGAGAAATGAGTAGTTTGGAATGGAGTCTTTATTCCTTGTGAAAAACTTCACAATCTATGCTTGTGGCCAAAGGTAGATTGGGCACTAAATGTAATGGGTATATTCATTTAGTGGAAATCTATCATCTTGAGGGTGGGATTCGATTTAGGAGGATTACACCACCTCTGAACCAGGATATATCTTGTGTCATCTATTATTTTCAGATCTCATATCACCGACAGTCTTCACTCATTTTCACATCTATCCAAACACTAAAATAACTTACTAAATCACTGAATAATGAACTGGCCAGTTCATTGTAATCAAGTCTTTCTGTTCTCATCCGTATATTGAAAAAGTTCCTTTTCTAGGTAGGTCAAAATCATTCTTACTTATGTGTTTTGTCAACTCAAAAAGCCCTAAAAGTATATCAAGACTATAACCTTTCACTATGTCTAAAATGCTCTAGTAGTAACCTTGTAACAACTACCTGTTGAATGAGGCCACTTCCAAACACATTTGCTACTATAAAGTGTCACATTGTAGGAGGTCAAGACTTCCGTTGTATGTTTCAATATCTCCCAAAAATATTGGAACTTACTTTATTAGAGGAAAAAGGGTTGATAAATCTAAAAGATTTTAAAGTCTATTCACCCCCGTCTAAGCTTTACCTCACTTGGGGACATTAGAAAGACATTCAGGTGTGCAACTTGCACAATAGACGTACATCGTTAATGTCCATCTCTTTCTTTGTCTCACCGACCACGTAAGCAAGGTATGCGTGGTATCCATTCTTAATAATCTTTCGTGCCCTCACCACGGATATGATACAACTTTGAGATCTTCCCCATCTCACTCAAAATGTAAGGCGTTTCCCGCATCGTCCTCGAGTTCAAAAACTTTGGCATAACAATCTACTCGAGCATGATGCTTCTTAATCCAATCCATTGTTAACATTGCATCGAATTTCAACATACTTAAAGGTACGAAGTCACAAGTCAAAGGTTGACTTCAGTTGTTATAACAAAACATAAAAATGATTATTACCTCAATTGATCTATGAATAACCAATAAAGAGGCATAGGATCTAGGAAATTAAAAGGACATACTTCACCATTTTTTTTGGTGAAGAGTCTAGGAAGATGCAGCGTCTTGCACGGGAGCATGTCCAAAGGGTCTCACATGAACAATAAAGTCTGAATAAGGAATCGGAGAACAAGAAGAAGAAGCTTGATTCTTGGAGCACAGAACTGAACAAATGTGAAGTCTTGACTGGGTATGAAAAGCAAAAACGTGAAGAGAAGAAGAAAAAGAATGATGCAAGAAACAGTTCACTTGAAATGGCCTCTGAGGAGCAGAAAAAAGCTGATGAAAATGTGTTAAGACTTGATGTACTGTTTTCCCAACTAAAATCAAAATATATACATTCGTCTTTAGAAAACGCTTTACTACTCTCAACCTTTGAAAAAATATATAGACTTGGGCATGTGTTACTCGTCAAATCGCCCTGACCAACACTTCCTTCCTACACCAATTTTCCCACCTCTAACAACTCTAGTTACATTCACCATATAAAAAAGTGTATGGTAGAGGAGGGATACATAACAATTTCCCAAAGACCAGTATTATTCATGCATAGTTTAGTGAGAATCCTTAGGTAAACAATTGGTCAAGTGCATATGCAGAAGCTAAGCATTCTTAGTAAACAATCAAGGGATTTTCCATAATTTAGAATTCACAATTTATAAGAACCTGAACTGTATCGAATTACAGGTCTAAATCTGAACTCAAATAAGTAACAATTTTCACATTATATAACAGATCACAATTCCTCGAAGTAAAGCTGAATTTAGAATTCACAACAGCCTGAAAGTGCACAACAATTAAATTCCAGAAATCTAGGGAGAAAGCATTCTAAATCCACATATCACAACAATAAAACTCTCATATTCCATATATAAAGGCATAAAGTTTATCTAAATAAAATACAACATAAGTAAAGCTAAAAGTAAAATACATACCTGAAAATCAGAAGACCGCGATTCAGCCAGCGGGCAGGGGGAGGCTGGATGGTGCAGCCACGCAGGACGGGACTCGAAATCGGGCAAGGGGAACACCCATTTAAGGGCACGAAGCAGTAGGGTAATGCTGTCTACGGAAAAGAATTAAAGTATTATAGAGGCGAATCGGCCGATTCGAGCTTTCCGGCAAAGTGTAGAACTTCGACCAGCGTGAGTGGAAGCAGGTCTCGACGTGTCTGCTTCGACGGTTAATGTAACACCCGGCCCCAGACCTATAGTACGACCCTAGACTACTCCTGTGCAAGAACACAGGAGACCACCAAATCGATTGTTGGCTGCCTGACAATGTTGGAACGAGGAATCGAACACAGCTCAGTCGATGATGTTCAATAACGGCATAGGATCCCTTCCCTCAGTAGAGAGTCGGAAGTCGATCATGGTCTGATTTCACTGGTAAAGTTGATAGAAAATATCTTGCTCCCTCTCTCGATACTACTCTACTTATGGGTAGGCAAAAGTGCAAAACACTTTAAAACTGAAATACAAAATTAAAATTGAAAATCTAAAAATTTAAAAAAGAAAAGAAAGAGTAGTTGAAGTATAAATGATATGATACACCTAAAAGTAGACCTTTTGGGTAATTTCCACAAATTAAAATCAGTCAAAACGATAGTCTAAACCATAATCTAAAGTTGATATGGAGGATTGAATACTTGATATAGTGAGAAAACTGGAGGCCGAAGACAGTCTTAAAAATCATATGCCCTTTAATGTAATTTTATTTTATCAAACGGATCTACTTCATTCAGTTAGTAATTTAGATTCAGATCTTGAAAGTTCAGTTTCAGTTCAGACAATAGCCTTTAATTCAGACATTAGCCTCCAGCTTCAGCTCGTTGTGCCAAACATACCCCAAGTCATGAACCGAAGTTGAAAGTGAGGCTGTCTGTGATGCTTACAAGAAATATAGATCTTTCATTTGGATTGTAAAATTGTATACAAATTTTGGTGACTAAACTTGAAGCTCATATTAGTGAGGATCAAATGATGCGAGAAAAACTTTGTATGTTTGTGATATATAACAAAGATGGACCGGATGACTAACCACATTTGCCTTGAATGTTGTATACAAAAAAGTTTATAATAAGTTGTAGGATTTCTTGACAATTTCATGGACTTACAAGCATGATGTCACACTTTTGATTTGTACCATTTACTTCTTAGTGTGCTATTACATGACATCTTATTGAAACACAACTTTAATGTTTTCAATTAGTTGGATCATTATCATGTTTTTTAGTTTTCATAAAATTGCATATGACTAGGTAGGTATTTCATTCCCATGAAACGCACGGTAGAGTAACTAGTCTAAATGTAATAGTAATAGCAAGACATGCTTAATCTGTCGGTACTAAGGAATTCCGTATGAACTTTTCTCACCTTTCTAGAATCGTCGATGATTTTGAACTATTAGCGGACGAGCATGATCTTTTGTTAGCTTGATCTTATTTGGTTCTGGCTAGGTCTTCTACTTGCGCTTCTTCATACCACTACAAAGGTGGATTACAAAGAGATTGGAATCGTTTAAGATGTTTTAAGGGTGTAGTCCTTGTTGGTAGAAAATAGCTCGAGAGAGAAAGCGACATCACTTCGATGCAGTAAAAAGTGACGTAGGGAATACATGGGGGTTGATGGCCTATTTATAGGCATCCATCATAAGCCCAAAATCTAATCTACGTGGGCTTGGCCCAACTTAATAACACATCCCCTAGCTAATGGGCGAACCGGCCCTATAAATAAATAATGAGCAAGGGGCGATTCCCGCTCGTGAGACCGCGTCCTGGGCCTAGTTGGGCCTAAGCTCGGGGATATCGGACCGATGGCACTGGGCCTGGCTCCTTATCCCAACACGAGTCCCCCACTCCCTTAGTTGAGTAGTAGACTCGGTTAAAAGGGAGTAGTTGAGCTGCTTTTAAATCGGCCCGGTTGGCAATATATCTAGCTAGTTACATAGATGTGTGTTGATAATGATGATTTGCGGTGTGCCCGGAAATGTTAGTCATGTAATTGTCCACTATGGTCCCATGGTCCGCGCAAGGATGAGATCCTCCTTGTCTAGGTGGCAGCCCGGTTTCTGGTCATCTGATCACCAGCCCGAGGTCTTCTTTGCTCCAGCTAGGAAGACCCCTTCCTCTGTTTCTGATAAGGGGATGCCTCGTTAAAACCTTACTAGGAAAAAACCCAGTGGGAAAAAATCCTAGTGAAGGGAAAAGAGTACACCGATGCCTCAAAATAAATAGAGGAAGGTTAGCTCCCCGGGCCTTGATCGGCCATTATACTTTGATCTCTACTCCCCGACGGTACGCAACGTTCTCCATCAGTTTTCTCAACTCGGGCCAACGGTCTTCAATTTTGGGCTCCAATATTCACATGTTACGATACTTCCCGGATGGAAAAATCAAACCTTCTTGGGCTCTAAGATATCATAATCTTTCCTAATCCAGTTGGTAAGCTAATTAATTCCTCCTTCCTAATTAGAATCAGTTGCTTATCTTCTTTATTTAGAAAGAAACTTCTGAGCACGTGTTCTTGTTCACAGCACCCAACCGCCACATATACGCCCAGCCCTCGTCCAGGCTATAGTCTATGGCGCCGTCACTGCTGCCCACTTCAAGCCGCAGAAGAAGACCTAGTATCTCGCCACCAGAGTCACCTTCAAAGAGAGCCCGAACTTCGAACAGGTCTGTATCGCCATCTCCTAGACTACATCGCCAGAAAAGTTCGCGCGGATCCGGTCCTCGTTCTCCTCGTGACCAGAGATCGTTCGGTCTGGTTGTGCGCGATCAGGAAGCCAAACCTTCATCGTCCCCACCTGTCCGTCCTGACCGTATGGATCCTATGTGTGGTCGCGCTCATGGAGGGTAGAACTCCGGGAATCATGATTGTAGGAACTCTTCCGATCCCGATGGTCCATCCCCATCCCAAAGGAGAAATCTGCCGGTCCATACGACTGCCGGTGGAGATGAACTGCAGGGCGGTTGGCGAAACTCCAGCGACGGGAAAACTAAGCTAACCAAGTTGTTCCAAGAAGAAGGCCATATCCATTCCAAGATGGATTGTTCATGCGTGCAGGTTGACGGACAGGTTCCTATGAAGTGCATGGACCATGGAACTGGATCGAATAAAGGTGCGGCCAGGCCTGCTAGTGAAGATGCACGAGCGACTGATTTTTTACAGCCAATCACGAATGTGCAGCTCGACACGCGAGGTGGGCCACGATCTGTCGGCGTGCATGGGGAACCCGAGCCCGGAGCTAAGGTTAGGAGCTTGCTTGCAGAATCATTTGTGTCTGGGAAACCCATAGACGGGACCCAAGGTTCCTCCAATAATAACACTGACGATAGACGGGAGCTCATTACGTCTTCCAGGGCAGGTGGACCTTCGAGGCGGATTCTTATTTCTGAGGGACATCTACGCTTTGCTCCGGATGGTTGTCGGGGAAGTTCTGGGCAGCCGCCCCTTCTTGTCCCCGTAGATGAGGTTTCCCGGTCCAATTAAGATAATGCTTCCCAGGTGGCCGATGGATTGACAGAGTCAGATAGCGCCGGGGACCCGAATTATTTGAGTCTCCCGCATGTCGACACGCTGGGACGCCTACACTCTACCAGTACGGCAGAAGACCTGAAGTTGGTGGAGCGTTTAGTCGGTAGTGACTGTACCCTGGTGCTTCCGGATCGCAGCAGCAACCTCACCAATCCTCCTTCAAGCGCATTCTTCGGAGCTCATGTTGCGTCTATAGAGCGGGGAATGCAAATCCCATTGCATCCCTTCATGGTACAGGTCCTTACATATCTCAAGATAACGCCGAGCCAGTTGACTCCCGTTGCCCACATGTTCATAGTTTCCTTTATATCCCGTTGTGGGAGCACGCCCATCCAGCCGTCTTTGCCTTTGTTCCGATACTGTTTTCGCTGGAGGCGCTCTACTTCTGATCTAGACGATGGAACTGTTATGTCGCTCCACCAAGCACACGCCCATAAGTTTTTCGGTCCACACCCCGACAACAACAAGAGGTGGCTGAGTAAATGGGTTGGGCGTCCGCTCCTATCGCATCTCCCGTCACTTTCATCTGGGGCAGTTGGATGCGCAGGTATGAAGCTGTCGACATTTCCCCCGACCTCCAGAGAGAGATCGATGTTTTGTTTCAGGGGGGCCTTTCCTGATCACTTCATATTTGGGTGAGTTTCGTGCTCGGAAAATGTCTTATTGCTCTAAGCTACCCCTTCCCGCTCACCTTTATTTATTGCCTATCACAGATATGACAGGCAGGAGAGGCGCCCTTGCCGCTCTAGCTATAGCGCAGGAAGTTCACCCTCAGCCCTGCTTATCTGGTGCCGGTCCGTCCAATGATGGGGAGAGGCGCGGGGCCTCACCGTCCAGTGTCGTAGAAAAGCGTGCAGCTTCCCCGCCTCGTGCTGAGAAACTTTCCAGGAAGAGCAAAGGTATGAGCCGCTTCTTAAGACGGGTAAGCGGAATATCCCTGCTAGCGGGTACTCGGCTAATAATAATAATAATTTTTTTCTTTTCTTTTTTCTTTTATATTTCCTTGCAGATGCAGTAGGTCGCAGAAGCGAACTCGCTGCTTTGGCCGCAATGAAAGATGCCAAATCTCTGCAGGGACTGATGGATCTGGCTGATGAAGCCTACCTCCAGGCTACTCGGGCTCGACAGCGAGCAGATGATGTGGAGGCGGATCTGAGGATACACGCAGCACGCAATGAAGAAGATAAGAGAGCCCTGACCGACCATCAATCAAAATGCGACCAAATGGAGTCTAAATATAACCAGCTAGAGGCTTCGTTTGCGGATGGAGGGCGACAAGCGATCGAGGCGTTCAAGGCTTCCCAGGAGTTCTCAGAGCTTGTCGCTTCTAGGACTGAGGATGCGGGGAAACAGGCGGTCGCGGCATTCAAGGCTTCCAGGAGTTCTCAGAGCTTATTGCTTCCCGGACTGAGGATGCGGGGAAGCAAGCAGTTGAGACGTTTAAAGTATCCCAGGAGTTTTCGGAGCTTGTCGCTTCCAGGACGGCCGCCCCCCGTGTGGAGCAAATTCGAGCTTGGCTGCAGACCAAGGAGGGGCGTGACTGGCGCGATGAGCAGGACTTGTTCTCTTTCCGGTGTGGCCGATATGACATGCAGAAGATGCTTTATCAGAGCCTGACAGAGCGTCTTCCCGGCTTTGAGCCCGAGAAGCTTGGCCTACCTGCACCCGCACCTGATCCTGACGAGGAGGACATGGCGGGTGATGATGATGGCCACACATATTGGAATCTTCAAACGTTCCCGGGAGTTCCTCATGATCTGGAAGATGTTACTCATGGCTTTGACTTCGAGACCATTCTCCAGGGTATTCCCGAGGAGCCGCTCAATCCCTAGATTATAGATCGTAGTTTTACTCTTGTTTTGTTTTTTCGTTTGACGTTGACGCTTACTTTGCTCTCGAGATTCATGTTTTCAACTCTA